AAAGACGGAAGGAGGAAGAAACGGGAAGGAAGAGGTAAAATGAAGAGAAGAAGAAGAAGAGAAGAAAGAGAGGGATACGGTGGAAGGGAAACTGAAAAGAGAGGAAGATGAAAAGGAGATAGGAGAGAAAGGAGAAAGGAGGTAGAAAGGGAGGAAAGACAGAGAGGACACACCCCTTCCCTCCCCTCCCCCCACCGCAGGTAAGTAATTTCAACCTAACTGTATCTCCTTTACATTCTTACTGTTATTCCTATTATCATGATTATCTCTATTCTTACTGTTATTATATTTGTTATCGCGATTCTTTATGGCTTATATTTCCTCATGCTCCGTCTGCTGATTGATATCTAGAATGAAGCAATTTCGCAAAATGGAGGTTTTTAGTCTTTTATAGCGGCCGCTTTACGTAGCATTATTCGCTTTCATCTGGAGATCTTTATTAGATTTAAGATTATACTCCTGCGCATCTTACCTTTGAAACATAGTATAAATGAACACACACACATACATATGTGTGTGTGTGTGTGTGTGTGCTATATATATATATATATATATATATATATATATATATATATATATATATATATATATATATATATATATATATATATATATATATATATATATGTATGTATGTATGTATGTATGTATGTATGTATGTATGTATGTATGTATGTATGTATATATATATTATTATATATATATATATATATATATATATTATATATATATATATATAATATATATATATAATGCTCTCTTTCAATTATCAATGCGAACTATCTATCAACAATGCTATTAAACAGCGAAAAAGATAATGATAATAATAATGACGGCAATATGCCTGAAAATATAAGCATTTCACAACAAATAAACCAGAACAATAACAGAAAAAAAACAAAAAAAAAAAAACATTTAGGAATAAAACGTCAAAATACCTACACGTTGAATCGACTTTCCATCCATTATACTGGTTGTCTTATTGTTTTCATTTTCCATTGTGTTCTCATGTGACACTTGCTCCGAAATACCTTGGATGTGCCTTTGTGGGATATGTGTATGATTGGTGTATGGAGAGTATATGGAGATGATATATAGAGAGATATAGTGATATAATGAACCTTGTATATAGCGATAACGAAGCGGTACATAGAGAGATATTGTGATATATAAGGGTAACATATGTTTTGTTGTATAGAAGTGATATATAGAGTTGAGATATATTTTATCATATAGAAGTAATACTAGAGTGATAAAAAGGGGCAATATACATAGTCATATATAGAAAAGATATCATGAGGTAGATAGAAAGAGTATGTAGCACTGATACCATAGTTAAAAGTATAATGAAGCAATGATTATGGAGGGAGATATACGTAAAGTTTAAAGTGTTGGTGTATCTATCTGTCTGACTGGTATGACGGAATGTGATATATTGTTCATTGTTTTATTGTGTATTTTGGGACGGGAGTATTTGAGGGTTTGTACAATGGTAGCAATTTCTGATATCAATTCGTTGTTTTGTTGTTGTTATTGTCCAATTTCCTCGTTTATGGAACCGTTTTCATATGGTGATGGAAAGAAAGTTTGTATTTGTCTGTTCTCTTATTCACTTTTGCATTCCGTTTTTAGATGTTTGTATTGCTATTCCACAAAGGAATTATAGATAAGGATATTTTCTTATTTGATTTCATAAAGCAAGACTGGACACAAAAATGTTTTTTTTTTTTTATTGTGTATATCATTTCCATTGGACTTACTACATAATGCCCGATACTGCCATAGTGATATATATTATTAACGAAGACAGAGGTGACACATCTGTCCAACTGGTGTGACAGAATATAACAGATTGTTCATTGTTCATTTCTCTTATCTATTTTGGGACAATCATAAGAAATGAAGTTACCTTGCGATTTATATTTTTTGTTTATTTTATTTATCTTTTTTTTTTTGGGGGGGGGGTTAGATACAAGCATTTTGATAAATTGTGAATATTGATTGGTTCAGTGATATTTATTTATTCATGAGCTATTGAATATTCCTCTATTTAGCTGTCTGTTTCTTAATCTCTTAGTTTATCCATCTATTTAACTACTTATCATATCTATTTTTTCACTTTTATTCTTTTATGCAGTAATTAAATTAAAATCAATTTTGTATGAACGATTTATTCTCATCTCCCTGTCCTGTTCCTCTTTCTCCTCTCCTCCTTCTTCATCTTCTTTTTTCTCTTATTTCTTTATTATTATTTTTCTCTGCATATCATTCTTATCATCTTTATCGTCATTATTGCTGTGATGATTATTATTATCATCATTACCATTATTATTACCAATACCATTATTACACTATTTATTACCATTATTATCATCAATGCTATTATTGTTATATCATTGTTATTATTATATTATTATCATTGTTATTATATATTATTATTATTATTATCATTATTATTATTATTATCATTATTATTATTGTTATTGGTGTTGTTGTTATTTTATCTATTATTATTATCATTATCATTATCTTTATTATTATTATTATTATTATTATCATATATCATTATTCATCATCATCATCATTATCATCATCATCATCATCATCATCATCATCATCATCATCATCATCATCATCATCATCATCATCATCATCATCATCATCATCATTATCACCATCATCATCATCATTGTTATTATCATCATCATTATCATTATCTTCCTCCACCTCTTTCTTCTTCGTCATCTTCTTCTTCTTCGTTTTCTTCTTTTTTTTCTTCTTCTTTCTTCTTCTTCTTCTTCTTCATATTCTTCTAATCATCTACTTCTTCTGCTACTTCTTCCTCTTCTTCATCATCATCATCTTCATCTACTTTTTCCTCTTCTTCTCTAAACGATATTTCGGAACAATTTCCATAAACCGGAATTAAATGACTACATTTACTTTACTTTTTATGATGATAGCGAATCCACCGTTGGTTACCTCTATAGGGCATATAACTAATTTATGATTATATGAACGTATCTGATTAGTGTTCTTGTGTTCTGCTCGCTAGAAGATGGGAATTGGAGTAAATGTTCACATCACGGGAGTAAAAGTTAATTTGTTTATTGATGAACATAATGTTTGGAGGATTTTTTTTTAAGTCAGTTGATATGATTTTTTCATGAAATTGGTCGTTATATATGTATTTTTTTTTCTTATTGGAGTAATATCCTATGAAGTAAATGATTATAGGGTTGATTAGAGTGAAAGTATTGAGATCATTAATTGAACTTAGGGGCTTTTAAAGCTTAATTAGAATAAAACAATTTAAAACGCTTGATAATGGAAAGTGATAAAAATGTTGAGAGTAGTAGAATTTAACTCTACGCCTGTTTGTTAAATGAGGTAATTTTAAGTGCAATGACCCTGAGTGACCTTTCGCTTGGCGTTATACATAGGTCACACATAAGCCTGAAAGTCTGATCTTTGACTATGTTTCTTACCGACGACGGAAAATCATAACACCACTTCTTTAAACATAACACCATTATGACAAATCAGAATAAAACAAGTTGATTAATTTGCAGAAAAGATAAAAAGTCACCCTTTGTTGGAGAGTCGAATACATACATCCACACAAACATACATACATTCACCTATGTATGTTTATATGTATGTATTTGTATATCTAGCTGTCAATCTTTCCACATGGTTACATATGCTATAATGTAAACTGGTCCTTTAGTGAGTTTTCATCATCATCATCATATTATTATTATTTAGCTTGTTCTTCTTCTTCTTCCTCCTCATCATCATCTTCTTCTTTTGGATCTCTCATAAATAGCTCACTTCCTATCCAGTAAACGATCTTCTCTCAAATTCTTTCGAAGAAACAAGAGAACAACGAAAAGCGACAAAGATAAAAGACAAAAAAGAATCAAGATTAGGTGACAGACGAAAGACCGGAGAGCAAGGCGAAAGAAAAACGACGTGAAAAGGGAAAAAAGGAAAAAGAAAGACCGAGAAAGAGAAGGTGACGTCGGTTTCGATAAGGAAAGATCTCGGACATCCTCAAGCCCCGGTGGGAAGATCGGAAGATTAGGCGGAGATAGAGAGCGCAGATAAAAAAGGGAAAGAGAGAAGGAGAAAGAGAAACTGCGTGAGGAAGTGGGTCCCCGCTGACCAAGGATTGTGACCGGGTTGCTGATCACTGATGAGGATGGGGGGGAGGGGGCGGGGGGTAATGGGTACGTGAGAGGGAGGGGGATGCAGGGTGGGTCGGGGGAGGGGGTTGTGATGCATACAAGACAGGTGCGGCGAGTTATCGTGGCGGAGAGACAGACAGACAGACGGGTAGATAGATAGATAGATAAACGGAGGAAGGAAGACACACACGTATACACACAGAAAGAGAGAGGGGGGGGGAGATGCCGTTGACATGTTATTCGGAGATCGCGTTCGGTGAGTCTATCGGGACTGTTCCGACTCAGGACTTTGGGTTTGAAGAGCGGGCGGGGCAGCCTCTGAATGGCTAAGGGTCCTTAATGGGAGCGGTTCCGAATGACACGGCGCGGGAGGCCCAGGAAACAATGTCCAGCTCGGGAGAAAGGCGTCCAGGAAGTCGCACTGATGGACACATTGTGTTCTTCGGCGAACAGAGGCGCCGTTCCGCCGTCGCCGATTTCGCGGCGGGCATCCACAACGGGCGCCTTTGTCTCGGGCGCCCTGGCATCAGCGCCACGAGGAATCTAGGGCGCCCCCGCCCTTCCTGTCCTTCAGGAACGTGACGCGACGGAGACAAGGATCTCACGACAGCCCCTCGCCCTCCTCCTCCCGCTCCTCTGCAGGACCAAGGCTCCGGCGTCGCTCTCTCCGCCCCGGATGGCCGCCCCAGGCCGCCCTTCCTTCCTCCCCGGAGAGACCACGTAGGAAGGGCGAGGAGACGCCCCCTGGCCGCTCCTCGCCCCCGGGGCAGGCATCAGCGCGCCTTACAGATTCCCCTTGATAACTAAACAATGTCGACCCCCCCGCGGCCCCCGTGGCACTCCCGCGGCGTGATGGCCGACCGTCCTCGCCCGGGGAAGCCTTCGGACACCTGTGAGACTCCCGAAGGCTCCCGTGGCGCCCGCGCGCTCCCGTGGGCCCGCCGCTG